ATTCCTCCGGACGTGGAGTTCGCAGCATCGCAGGTGTCTAAGCAGGGAGGAGGGCTGAAATCCCCCGGGCTTGCATGTGTGTGTGCTGCACGGCAATAGCTGACGGCGGTGACATTTCCAGATGAGGAATAATTAAACCATTCCCGGTGCTGTAATGCTGACACTGTTGTCTAAATCTGCTTTTGTTTTGTTGTTGTTTTTTTTTTCTTTTTTTCCTATATGAATGCTTTCTCTGTGTAAAACATCATGTTAAGGAAGATATTAGAAATGTCATCTTCTTTAGCATGCGTAGTTAAAACCAGAGCTGGCATATGTTCACGTCTGTTTCCCCGGATAATCCCCTTAGAGCTGTAAAATGGGATCTGCGGCGCTGGTGCTGCAGCTCGCCCTGGGTGCGCGCCTGGAGCTCCAGCCCGCCGGAAGCGATGGGCTCCTGGGGGCTCTACACATGGAAGAGACTGAAGGATTTGGGCATAAAAGTGAATTTGAGGGTTGATTTAAATTTAAATTTAAATAGAGGCTGATATCTTTAATGATTTCCTGGTGGGTCCTGATTTATTATCTGTACAACAAAGGAAAATCTTCTTTCTCTCGGAGTTGGGTTCACTCTTTTTTTCTTTTTTTTTTTTTTTTCCTCTCCTTAGAGCCTTGCCTTTTAGGGGAGAAACTACAAGATGTATTTCATTTGTTTTGTTGATGAAACAGACTGGAATGATTATCAGCTTAAAACTTTCTGTAACGGCTGTATATTGACAGTCTTGTCGTGGTTCAACATTTCCACTCTTCTTCTTCTTCAATAATTTCTGTCCAGCCTCCTCCTCGGACTGCAGTAGTACAGTCTTACTCACCCACTGACATTTTTGTTCAGCAGTGTTTCCCATAGAAGGAAATCCCTGATATCTGCAACAGCAGATAAATTTTGTTTGATGGAAACAATTTTTTTGAAATCATCACCTATTTTTGCATCATTGGTAGTTTTCAGGGCTCGCTGCTGATTTCCTTTCTCTCCTTGCAGTTTGAACATGCCCTGACCTGGGTTCCCACCCGTAATGAGAATGATCCATCACTATGGTTTGCACTGATCATTCATTTGTTATCTTCTCTTACACTTTCTTGCCCTCTGTCTTCCCCTCTCACTTCCCCGTTCAAAAGTAAGCCCCATCAGTATTGCCTGACCTCACTGCATGGTGTTCTTGTGAGCCCTTTTTTTTTACATTATTATTATTATTATTATTGATTCTCAGTCATGCATGTTGCATCTAGCCATGAGCAGGATGTATTCCTTTTTTTTCCATCTTTTTTCCTCCTTTTTTTTTTTCCTCCTTTTTTTTTTCCCCCGCCTTTTTTTAGCTTAAGGAGACACGATTGGGATCTGATCAATTTGTTGTAGGCAGTTTCTGTGTATGCTTAGTGGGAGAAAGCCTAAATAGCAATCGTAGTGCCCTTTACCCAAATATCTCCCTGCTGGCCTGTGTTGGCCTTTTGGTTTCACTTGCTTTAAAAATGAGAGGCTCTGATAAGTCAAGTTTTCTTATCTCTGATGATTTCCTCTTGCTGTGCTTTCTCCTCCCTGTTTGCTATGGTGGTTGCAGTATAATCTGATCCAGCAAAAAATGTCTTAGGTGAACGTTAGCTTGTGTGCTGTATGATTTGTGCATCAAACACATTGCTTAGCAACAGGAGCTGCAAATACTTCTACCCAGCCAGCATATAGTCAGAGTCCTGTTTCCTTTTAATTAGCAACGTTTCTGGCCTCGTGCATTTGATTGAAAAAACCCTAAGCTGCTAATTAAAAGGGTGCAAGAATGTAATAGGCAACTTGACACAAACGCGCTGCTTGCTTTGTATGCATCGCTATCATGATTTGGCATAAAGACACTCCGAAATTACCTGCATTAATTTCTGTATTGCCTTCATCATTGTAGCTCGCAGCCTTCTTCTCATGGACAAGCCGCTGTCGCAGAGCTAGCTGCAGCGTTTATTCCGCGGTTGGAATGCAGCTTCTCCCATACAGTGCTGTTGTCCGAGACGAAAGCAAGTCAAACGTCTCCTGCTGATCAAAACCTGCTTCTGCTACAAAATACGAAATTTGCCACAGCTCTTCAGTGCAGTAAGCTGTACCTGGGGCAAGCTCTGCACCAACTGACACAGAGGCTGGTTGAGCAAAAGCAAAGGCCTCATCACTAAATCTCAGTTACTTACCGATGCCTCGACAAGGCGTTCATGGCAGATGAGAGAGTGTTAGCTTTTCAACGAGTTAATTTTTAACTCGGAGAGAAATGGAGAGGTTTTCCCACTGGTGTTTGTAGTTGTTCTTCCTCCAAACCAGCAAGATTGGGCTGCAATGTATACCTAATCTCCGTGAGCTGGTGGCAGGGGGACATTTAAATGTGATCTTTTTATTTATTTTTATTCATTTATTTGGCCAGCTATGATTGTTTCCATGCCCGAAGCACTTTGTGTGTGAGCCATACTATGGCACATCAGTGCCATAACCAGATAACCAGTGTCCCCGAAACACGTGTTATGGTGCAGTCTCAAACACAGCTGATTTTAAAATGCAATACCTTGTACTGTGGGGGTGTTTAAATTTGATAACTGTAAGCAGCTGGACCATTTGAAAAGAGAGCACAGATTTGGGTAGAAGCAGCAGACATGTCTATGATAGTAAGCTATTCTTTCAGATACCAGACTTAAATAAACTGGGAGAATTAGCTTGATTCCTCTGAGAAAAGAGATGTTGTCAGGCAGGCACACCCCATGTAAACTGGGGGGGGCTGGTTTTGAGAAGTGATTGAGCCTTATCAAAGCAGCTGCAATAACATGGGAGAAAGTATGTGCTCAAGGGGTGGTAGCACCAAGGATAAGCTTTGCTCCTGATCTTCTGCCTGCTTGTTGGTTTCCTGCAAAACCTACTAACAAGGCTTTAAGCTGAAAAGGTTTTTTTTTTCTTTTTTTTTTTTCCCCATCATTCTCAATCTGTTTCTTTCCTTTTGGATATTCTCTGCCTAATTTGTTTCTTTTCTGTTTTACAGACTTTACTTAAACATTCTGTTTCCATTGATGTTGTCAAATGTTCTGTATTATTTTTTATTTTCATTCTACAAACATCACTGATCTTTTTCTTTCCCCCCCCTTTGGAATTCATAAGAAGATCGCATTTATGCACAGAAGAAAGGTATTCAATAATTTGGAAGGCTTAAGTTTCATTAATTTGCCTAATGCTTAATCTGATAGTATGTAATATATTAGGATACCAGTGAGAGATTCGGGTTTGGCTTTTTTACTCAGTATTGTTTTCTAGCTGTTCAATCCTACATCCCAGAATATTTTTCACGTTTATAGTCTTTTTTTGCATTGTTCTGCTTCTTAAGGTGAAGGTCTAAATTACATTTCGTGTAAGTCCTACATATCCAGCTTGCAAGATATGTGTTTGGAAGCTACAAATCTGAAATACAATAGAATTTGTTAAATTACTGAAGTAAGATTCGAAGTTTTTATTCTACCTTCCAAGTAATTTTTCCACTCCAATTTTTAACTTAGCTGTGTTCATGATTTTTTTTTAAGTTCCTTAATACAAATAGGGTTTTTTTGATATTGAAAGAAAAGTAAAAACTTAAGAGAATATCAAGCAATGTTTGCAAAGGCTAAAATTAATCCTTTTACCCATAGCCAGTTCTCAGGTTATGACCCATTTACTTTCACCTAAGTGTATGCTTAAGTGTAGCTGAGGTAATTAATAAGTATTTGCAGTAATAGTGAATTTCAAAATACTATACTGGAGTATTCACACTTGAAATTTAAGTCCAAGATTTATGTATAAACAGTTAGGGAATCCAAATACTAAATCAGGTTAGTGATATTCAGTCAAAATTAACAGGACAATAAAACATTGTGAATATCAGGTGCATTATTTAGCAAATAATGTTTAAAAAAAAAAACAAATAGGATAAATAAAATCATTACTAATATTTAGTAAACACATAATATTTTAAGTCATTTTTTACAGATCTGTTACAAATTAGGAAATTCAGCGGAGACCAAAACCTTTTAAGTATATTTTTTAGTAACCTTTTATGGGTATTGATGAGAAACAAAATAGTCCCTTTGAGCCTGTTGTGTTCTATGATTAAGTATATTTTTCCATTCTTATTTTGTATTTAAGTATAGGGCATTGTATTTCACTTTGGTCATAAATTATATTTCCAGTTTTCAGTTCTCAGCTCTTCTGGAAGTTAGAGTGACTGAAAAGGGCCAAATATAAGATCAACTAGACAGTATGAGTTTGTAATAAAGAAGTAGGTATATTGACACTTGGGGGGGAAAAAATAAAAAGACAAATTGTGTTTAAGTGCTTTTAGGGTAAAAAACAGGCTGAAAACCAAGTCTTGTGTATCTGGAGAGTACAGTTCAGTGAGATTGTAGTGACTGAGGCAGGAAAGTCCCCCGCCATTGCTTGAAGAAGCCAGCTGAATCATTGCTGTTTAATTTAAATTTTTCATTAAGCTGTTACAAATATATTATATTTAATTCAGTTACAGCTGAATTACAGCTGTTTCTCCCACTCTTTATTGCCTAGAATTAGACATCCGTGCCTAAGACTTTATATCTTGTTTTTTTTTTTATCTTTATATTTTTTCTATCTTTTCTTCATATTTTTACCTTTATGTGTGGGAGATTGGAAAGCCTTCATTCTGAGCATAGTTTCTTTCAGCTTGAACTTCAAGACACAGGCTCATAATTTCAAGACAGTCTAGGAGGACAGTTAGAAACGCCTGGAAATAATGCATTTCATAGCTGCCCCAAAAGATGGATGCGAGCAAAAGTAGCGTGCGTGACTGTAGGACATCTAGTTTACTCTACTCAGCAGATGCACGAAGATATGCCGGTATGTGTTATCAACACTTGGGCATGCAGGTCGTGTGAGAGCTGTGGGCACATACGAGGTGGCACATGGGGACCCGTTTGTACCCAGGCTGGTCAAGGACACACGACTCCACAAGCAGGTCAGCAGGATTCCCTGCGCGTGGCTGCTGAGCTCCCACTTTATTGAACTCCCCCCCTTCCACTGTTTAGGGTTAAACTTGATCTTGACCACAATGTTAAAAGTTACAGTGAGATTCATCCTGAGTTTATGTCATTATCTGTGATGTTTGTCCCTATGGTTGCTTAGCTTTCTTTGGAACAGGTCTAGGTTTTGAGAGTCAAGTTTATTTTCAGTTTTGAAAGTTTTTTTGCGAAGGATGGCTATTTGTTTTGAAATTCGAGCACAGGGGAAAAAAAAATACATCCTTTTCACCTCTTCTAAAATGCCAGGATATCAGCTAGGCCACCTGGTCATCCAGTAAATATCGTGAAGCAGCGCTAGTCTCAGACAATTCCGAGTTTAACTGTAATTGAGAAATCTGCAGTAGGAAAGGTGACGGTGCCTGATGGTAGAGCCAGGGGGCTGCCGTCAGCAGAGATGCGTGGAGAAAACTAAAACTAAGAATTACAGCAGAGTTGACTCCAAGAAATGCTCAGAAAATCTCCTGCATGGCAGCAGGAAACGCCGGCGGTCCTGAAGCAGCTGGGGCTTTTGCCGTTGAGTTCAGCGGAGCCCACGTTTCATCATGAGCCCATTAGAAGTCACTTTGCGCTCGTAACACGGCGAAGGAAGGTCTGCACGCACGGCCCCGCGGCTGCCTTCCGCAGCTTTTCACCTCCTGCATCCATCACCCGCATCCGGCGACACCTTGGTCCTCTGCCCGGTGCTCCCTGGGGCTGTCCCCTCTGCCACCATAACCAGCTCCCTCATTTTTGGCCCCTTCTGCTGGTTTAGCTTCCGTGGTGGGCTCCACTTTATAAAATGGATTGATTTGCTAGGGATCGGAAATAGAAATTTTCATTTTTCTCCTTGAATTTCTGGAGCAGCGGGGAAGGAGGCGTCATCTTGATGGTAGTGACTTACAGGGTGCAGTCTTGAACCTCCGAGGCAGGAGTTGCCAGGCAGCATCCATATGAGCCAAGGTTACCTGTCATTCAGAAACCTTGGCAGAAATCTTCATGATGTATGTGGTTATGATTGTGTTAATTGAGTGAAACTGGTTTACGCAGCATAACATGGCATTTTCTTCTTTCATGAGGGTCCTTATAAAAAAATTCCGTGTTCTGATAACTTAGTACTTTTTGCTTTTTCTATTCAGGTGGTGCAATCTTGGATGCACAGATAATATTCTAGGGTTTGAGGATATCCAAGCAACAAGTGCACACACAAACTTAGCTGAACTGCAGTCTGTTCCAGCATATGGGGTTTTTTTAAGGCAGATTTTTGTGAGAGTTCACGTATTTCAAAGTAATTGTAATTTTAAGCAGGTCATAGCAGTGATGGGAAGGAAGTTGCATCTAGGGAACTCTCTTAACCACTGACAGACAACACAATCCCTACTGTTTTGTGCTGGTTTTCAGGACTCTGCCTTTAGGTTTTATAACCATTCAAATACTTTTTAACTAGGGATAGAAAAATGCTCACTGGACCCTCTTGACCTTACGCTTAGCTCAATTACTTTTCTTTTCTTTTTTTTTTTAGAAAACTAAGTGAAACATGATTAGTTTTCACTTAATAATAAAATTATGAAATAGATTTTAACTCTGCTGTTTTATTTTTAACTCTTTTTTTTTTTATGGTTTGGGCACAGTTCATGTTGAGTATCATTTTGGCATTTTGACTGTTTTCCATGACACTTGTTTTCTAAAGAGTATGGTCTCTGCAAATGTTTTTGAAATTGAAAATTAGCTTGCATTGATGGAAAAACATGCAGTTTTAATATGTAGCAGGAAAAGGATCACATCTCTAAAGGTATTAATAACTAGATTGTTCAAAAGTGATCAGTCTTGAGCTGTAAATAACAAAAAAAAAATAGTATTTTTGATTTTGACTCCAAACGTGGCTTAGATTGGCAAACTGGCATTAATACGATGTTTCTTGTATTTAGAGTTCAGAATAGTGATGTATTGTTTACAAATCTCTATAACTGTTTTTAATGTGTTTTCCACAGGAGCAACAGCTGCTGCTCGAAAGGAGGTTATAAGGAACAAGATAAGAGCAATAGGAAAAATGGCTAGAGTTTTCTCTGTGTTAAGGTAAGGTTTTGTGCTGTTTCAGATTTTTTTGATGTTAAATGACATCTTTGAATGATTACTTAGAGCACTCTACTGTTAATCAAACAGCAAATTTGACATTTTAGTATACCAGCCAACTGAGTTTTACTGGAACCTTTTAAAGATTGTTTTATTTATACAATACTATTTATTATGGCTCTGAGTAATATTCTTCCTCAGGGCTTTTGCTGAATGTAAAACAGACAAACAAAAGACATCAGCAAAGAAAATTGCAACTACCCCTTTTTTAAAAGACTTTTGCTCACCAGGTGTACTAATTAACTCTTAGCCACTGTGAGGCAAGAGTTAAATGCGGAGAAAGGGTACGTTCCACATCATAGCTCATTAAAAAGGAAGCCCACTATCCCACTTTGTCACCCACAGTTGTTGCTACAGCCCTGAGTAAAGATGATTAAAGATGAAAGCACGAGGGTCATTTAACTAAAAATCCAGGAAATCATGGTGCAGGCAACAGCAGCTCGTTACCTTGGGCTGCGCTCCCCCAAACACATGAACACGAGTAACTAATTGCTACCCAATGTTTAGAACTCTCCATTTGATGTCTCTGAGCAGAAGAGAAAACATGCTGTACTGTGCTGAAGTCTAAATATAGAAAATACAGTTCTCCCTCCCTTGCAGCAGAGGGATTTAATTTTTTTCTCACAAAACTGTATGTTGCTGTGCTGTAGTCAGTTTATGGCTATTATGGTTAGTGCCAAATCAAGGGATTTTTAAAAAAAAATCCATTGGCACGATTGTAGGATTGATATAAAAAGGGGAAATAAAAATAGTTGCTTGAAAAATACACTCAATTTCAGATGAAACTCTCAAACTTGCTTGATTTGAGACTCTCCTGCAGCACGCAAGCAGTGGGCAGGTTGTCAGCGGGGCGTTGCATGGACACAGCAGTTTGCCCACGCGTTGCAGATTGCAGCAGCATAGCTTTAAATAGCATACTGAGATGGAGGACTTTGTACCTGGGGTTCCCAAAGTGTTATGTGTGAATTAGTAGTGATGCACAAGCTACTTCAAAGTGGTACCCATAAAAAAAAAAAGAAAAGGCTGGCATCACGCCTTTTCTCTAAACAAGACGGGGGAGCAATCAAATGTTTCCACCTGCTCCTGTATACCAAGTCTGGCAGAGATCCTGGAGCTGACATTGCCACCACCTTCATAAAATCAGCACGATTATTCTTCACTGATAGTTGAGCAAACAAAGTTTGGGAAACCTGGCTTTCTCCCATAACCTTGAACTGCAGCTTCTGTATCTGCTGTACTTTGTTGTGGAGCATCTTTTGAAATATAGGATTAATTCAACAGAAACATGGACTTTAATATGCAGAAGAGCCTGAAATTGGATGCTCAGCTGATGTATTTCAGTTTTGATAACTTGCAGGTGATTGACATCACCTATATGTGGAAGACTTTTTCAAAGGGAGCTATGGGGCACCAGCTTTTCAATGGAAGGATAATTTTTGCATGTTCCCTGTCTAAAGTGATATGCATAAGCCTCATAGCGTAGAGTTTTAACGCCATTTGAAAGTTTGAGCCCTCTTAAATTATTTCACAAAAATCAACATTTTAAGCCACTGATGGAAATCAGTCTTGATCTTTCCCTGAAAAGCAGTCAAATTCATCTCAGAGTTGCTCATGAGGCAATTTTTTGCCCCTACCCCATGCATCCCAACATCTCCAGAAGACCACAAGAACTGTGTCTGGTAGGGAAACACAACGGTTCACTCAACGAAGCTCCTGAGCCTTTTACAGTTCTTGGTTATTGATGGACCTTAGAACTTTGCAGGAAGGACTGAAGATGAAGAGTATATTTGTTCTCCCTTGGGTTTAACCAGCAAATACAGCACGTCCTTACTGTGGTTGGAGGCGTAGTCAGGAAATAACCAGGTGTCTCCAATGGGCGGTTTTGCGCATCAGCCTTCCAGGGGGATGAGTGACGTTTCATCCCAGCCACCATTGCCCCCCTGGAAGTATCTCTTCTTCTGTTTTGCTGGGAAAGGTTAATTCTCCTCAGCTAGGTGCCAGGCTTCTAGACAGCAAAGATTACACAAAGTTCATCTTACAGATACTGCTCCTATAGAGCAGCCTGGCTTATTTTTTCTGTCTCGCCAGCACAATCCACATTTAAGACACAAGTGTCTGATAACTGTATGTAACCCTGCAAAGACCGCAGTGACACCATCATCTAAATCAGCCTGTTTCAGAAACCTTTGAAGCTCCTGTTTGAATCACTGCTGGTTTGTGAAATTTATTTCACTAATTCTCAAAAAGCGTTTCTGAATGATCAGCAGCTGGTCATTCAGATGATTCAGGTGGTCACATCATGAGCACCTTCAAAGGGACTCAGTTGAACGTCTGTTCTCTGAGCTGGAGTGGCCACCTTCCTCCAGGATGTAACCTGAATGTAGAACTGAGATCATTTCAGCCACTTTAGTCTCAAAACTAGATGTCAAAATAATGCTGTATTGAGTTTCAAAGGTTATAAATGAGCTTTGCTGAGAATAGCCATCGTAGGAAGATTAGTTTAAGCTCAGTGGAACACCTCACGATTCCCTGTCATTGCCTCTCTGCAGCTGTGTTTCTCAAGTCCCACTTTTCTTTGGATATATTTAAACAGAAGGGAGGTAAATAAAATACTTAATCAGTTTGTTTTTTTCTGGTTTTTGAAATAGAAGTAAAAGACATGAGAGAAAATAAGGAACACTGAAGGCTAAAAAATTCTCGAAAGCTATAATACAGAGGCTTCTTGGGAATATGCAGTTTAAAGATAATAAAAATACAGTGAATAAACTTATTCTATGAAGGTGAAGCTAAAAGTGCCGTTGTGATTTAGTTTTAAAAAAAAAAAAGAGACATTAAATGGTCTGAATTGAAAATGCAGATTAAGCATTTGCTTGCAGAGGCAAATAATCAAGAGAAAGCAAAAACTTTGGTGTGTAACGCTTGATGGTGAAAATACTGTGTTAATTCTGGAAATATTTGGCTTTTGGATTAGTTCTAATTGCTTGGGAAACTTGCAAGGAAAACAGTCAAAATTTGATTTTGACTATTGCACAAAAGTGTGTACAAGGAGAATCGTTTTCAAACTAAAAATAGAACTCGAAGAGTAGATGTAGTAGGTAAACAAGAGTTGTTTGAAATGCACGAGTAATTCGGGGCACGCAGGTCTAAAGAAAATGGTAAGTAGTAGAATTGCTGAGAGACAGTTTTGATAGACAAAACCACATTGTCCTCAAGTGAACGTGGAACTAAATTCTATCTTTGTGTTTGCTTCCTCCAGCTTAATGTCATTATGTATTTCAAAGTAAAGCACTTCAAAATAGGTTTCTCTTAAAGAATTGGGGTCAATTTTGCTGCTGAGAAAATATGTCATCACAGACAGCATTACAGTGCTCGTAGAAAGCTGTATTTAACAGCTTGTCTGAAAAGAGCCGTTGTATTCCTCTTGCCATATATTAAAAACTATATGTATTTGAAGACCAGCAAAACATATTTAGGTTTCCTAAAACATTTTTCTTTAATTTAATATCATTTTTAGCATACAAAACTATTAAGAACTGCTAGTAAGGGTGGAAGTGCTTATTGATTTTAAGGAGCTTTTAGCTGCCTTTTTTTTTTTTTTTAGTGCCTGGTGATCATTAATAAATAATGCACCTGACTGCTAGCGTAGACAAAAGCAAAACAATAATTTAAGTTGATTTTGGACCACACGATGTGAGACACTTAAATGTATTGTTGACAATAGCTGCTCCTTTGGTCCTCCTCCTATCAAGTTTGTGGGTTTATGTATATATATTCAGACGTATGTCATACGTTGTTTCATAGATGCAGGTTATAGTGTTAACTATAGTGGGTGTCTCTGGATGGAGTGGTGGAAAGGTGAACCACCAGTGCTAGTGTTATCACTGGGTTCAGTCTGTCCTGGTAAGGAAATAGGAGATAACCAAATCATTTCAGGGCAGGTGTAGCTTAAGGTGTCTGAAACATGTTCTGTGTTTAACAAAAGCAAAAAAAAAAAAAAAAAAAAAAAGACAATTATTTATTTTGGGTTTTCTTTTTTCCTTCGCAGAGAAGAGAGTGAAAGTGTGCTGACGCTGAAAGGTTTGACTCCAACAGGAATGCTGCCCAGTGGTGTGCTCTCTGGAGGAAAACAAACACTGCAAAGCGGTAAGCATGTTTGCCTGTGTGTGTCGTTGTGTGTAAAAAAAAAAAAAACACAATTGGTTTTCAACTGCAGAACCCAAGAAAAGTCATCTCAGAAAAAGATAAAGGACAGAATAAAACAGGCGGTTTGTTGTACTGGAGCATTTGTGAGCAGTTCATGCGAGGCCACTACTCAGGACTTATTGCATACCACTGATTTTCAAAGAAAGAGGGGGGAAAAAGTCCCTGAAAATCAGCTGTTCAGGATGGTAGATCAGCATTGCATGTGAAGTGTGCTCTTTCCGCAGTTTACAGCATCTTTCTGGGGTTTTTTAAGAGCAGCCTTTGATACGCCGAGTACTGAAGGTTCAGGTTAGATAATGACACTCAAACTCTTATTTTATCTGATTTGTTCTTTCTCATAGAGAATCACCAACAGAAAATAGCTCTAGAATTAGATTTTCTCTCCTAGCAATTCTAGGTGACAGCATGAGAACAATTTCGCTCTGATTTAAGCCCGAGTGAAGGGAGGCTCTCAGGAACACCGCGTTTGCCTTGTACACAAACACAATACACAGTGTCAGCTCGGTTTTATACCAAGTGCTTCTCATTACAGGAAATCTGAAAGTCTATAGTAGGGCTGCCTTTGATGAAATATTCCTTTTGGAATAAGGAGCTGCAAAGTATTTAATTTACTACTGTAAGCTCTCCTTTTTTTCCTGTGTGCGTTGCTGTAGAGTGTATTGCAGGCACACAAGAATGTCTCTCATTTTTTGAGGTTCTGTTGGCGGTAGATGTAAGAAATAGAAATGCTTTGTAACCTTAACACAGTCTCAGCCTCTTGTTTTCCTGTTTCCTTCCTGGAGCATTCTTTCTCTGTATTTTTTCCTTTACTGTCTCTTTTACCTAGAAGATTCAGGTATACGGCGGTAAACCTTCTCTTCCCCTTTTTTTTCCCTTCCCTTTTTTCTTTTTGATGACTTGTGTGTTGCGGACATAGTAACGTTCTGCTTTGAAAATGCTGCAATATGATTCCACGGAATGCCTGCCTTATTGGGGTTGTGATCTTTACCTAGGCTTTTCTCCATATAGTTGCTTCCCATTTGTCAGGTAATTTGGTCCAAGGAAACTGCTATTGTTGCCCTGGCAAAATATTAGGAATTGAAATGGATTTGAGAAAATTGCCTAAAGTTTTTGTTACAATGGCTAAAAGGAAAATCTTCTCATACTGCAGTATTCTGGCTCAGTAAAACATTACTATACACAAGCTTCTGCATTAGTTAACGTGTAGTACCCCATTCACCGAATAAGCTGAAGTTTACATAGTTTCTGTTAAGCACACATTCACATTACCTTATGTATTAACAGAAAATATGAGTAGTATGTTCTGTTGTGGAAGTATACATTTTAGTCGTAATTTTTTTTCTAATGTGTCAGTGCTGGTTTGGATCTGGTTATTGATTTTAGTTTCTCATCCTAGTTATCGTGTTGCCTTTTCTTTTAAGCTTACATTGGTTTCATTCCTTGATTTTTGCCATCTCTCTTGCTCTGTAGCTTGAGAGGCATAGGCTTACCTTGGTGCATGTGGGTTAGCTCCTCTTGTTTCCCCATGCAGCAAGATGATAGTATACATCTTTTAGTATTGATCTCAATCCATATTTGACATCCTAACTATGAAAAAAAAAAAAAATTGTTTGGGTTTTGTGGAGGATGAAGTATTTGACATCCTAACTATGAAAAAAAAAAAATTGTTTGGGTTTTATGGAGGATGAATAAAGCTTTTACATAGGGGAAAATAAGTCAAAAAAGAAGAGAGGAATTGCTAAAAACTTGGCTTCTTGAGCTATTCTCTAACCCAGGGAAGTTCTTGAAAATCAACATTTCTTTTAAAATATTTGAGCTGTACCATTGCTATATTGGATTGCAGTTGCTGATTTGCATCAGCTTCTAAATCTCTGAGTGTAGGAACAAAATCATGCCAAAGCTGATGGGCAGAATTCAAATCATATTGTGTCTTTAAGAGCAATGAATAGTTTCCAAACAGTGCTAACGTGGTATTCGTAACACTGCAGCAACCTCCTGATGAGAAACTTTTCTCTCCTGACCAGGCTTTGCAATTTTGGAGGTACAACAGCTTTCAATCTTGTATCTATGTCCATTGATTTAAATAAAATATTGGAAGAATGCTGTTTTCAGAGACTGGGTTGACAAAAAGGACACTTACAGATGGAGCAAACTGGGCAAGACTGCGAGCAAAGGCCAAGTTGTCTGAGCAAACTCTGTCTCAGGCTGTGGGAGGTTTCTTTTAGTCAGGAGAGAGAAAAAAAAAATCAGTCTGAGAAGTTATATATGTGGCTTTTTTGCCTCGTACTGGCAGGCACTACTTTTCAAGCTGACATTGTAAGTGGTATGAATTTTGTGTGATGGCTTTATGCCATTTTTCATTCCCTTTTGACAGGGCAAATCAAACTGCTCTTATTCAAAGCTGGGAGAATTATACAATAAACTTTGCAGGTCAGATGTGCAATATGGAAGACATTTTCGTTTTGTAGTTTTTTCGAGTCAAAAGAAAACTACTCAAACTTGTCTTTCAAAACTTGAAGTTTGTGAAACTTGTGCTTCAAAACAAACTATAGCTTAATTCAATCTGCAAATGACTGTTTTTGTGTACGCATTTCTCTGTGTGTCTGTTTTGCCAAAATCCAGCACTTACAGTAACATTAGTGTTGTAGCTCCTTTGCTATTCGCTGACTTGTTCTTAGAGTTAAAATCCTCTGCTCATTTTTCTCATTCGTTTTGCTACCCCTTTCTTCTCTTCAGCTACTGTTGAGGCTATTGAGGCTGATGAAGGTAAATTGGCCAGTCCCCTTTCTGTTGGTGCCACAACAGATAAGGGCTCTGCTGGGTGTATTCATTTTGCTGTAGCTTGTACAGAGTGTGTGGGTGTTGGGCTAACAGTTGTGGCTCGGTATTAACCAAAATGTAATTGCTTTAAAGGGGAAAATGTTTTTGGTTGTGGGTTTGTTGTTTTTTTTTTTTCCCCGTTGCTGCTGTCGTGGGGTTTTTTTTTTTTTGTTCTGAAAGTCACAATCACCTTGGAATTGCTGTATGTTGAACTAAGCACTGAGTAAGGCCACAGGAGGAGATCAGGGGACTTGGATTTCACGGGATACGAGTCGGCAGCAGCTTGTAAATGCTCTGTGACACATAGCTCAAAAGCTGTGAGCCGGAGGCTGGCTCTTGTCTCTGCCTCAAACCATCCTCAGCAATCTCTGGTCAAGGAAAACACACAGCTTTTATAAATATTCTCTCTTTTCGTTGGTTTTGTTGTTTGTTTTTGTTTTTCCGTTTTCTTTTTTGCTTCAGTTTGTTTTCTTTCTTTTTAGGTCACTAGTAAAAAAAAAATTTATTGGTCTTTTGTTGCAGTTCAGCATGTTTCTGTTTCTCTTTAAAAGTAAACCAACACGAGACATTTGTCTGCAAGATGTCTGCTTCCTCTGGTAGTGGCAGTTTACACACTGGATACTTACATTAGAGCAACCATTAACACCAGCACCATTTTAGCTGCAAATATAAAGTGACTGGCTGCCTCAGAAGATTTCTGAACACTTAGCATCAAAAACTGTGGTGCTTTATTGACAGACCTCTAATTTAACCCTTAAGCAATTTTTAATGCTACGGTTAAAACATAAGCAATCGTATATTGCAATGTAGATGCACAATATTCATTCAGCATTATAAAGTTTTGGAAGAAGAGTTTTCAGAATTCCCCTTTAAAACAAAATCCTTCAGTTGTATTTTGTTCTTGCCCCTCTCAAATTTTCTGTGGGTGGTTTTTTTTTTAGTTAATTTAAAAAAAAATAATCTGATGATTGCTGTCCGTTGGTAAGATGTGCCCTTTTGGCCAGTTGAATTTGTTTTTGATTTTTGTAAAGCAGTGAATAAAATTACAGAACAAACAAGTAAGAGAAAATACAACTGCTTTCTAAATAGCGGTGAGTAAGCTGCTATTTATGTTGGAATTATCTATTCCTATCGGCAATCTCTAATCTGCAGTGTGCATTCTCGTTGACAGTTTGGCTGTTTTCTGTGATTTTCTGTGACTATGTGTTGTGTTTTAGTATATTCTCAATGTCAACTGCTAATACTCGTTGTCTGACCAGCAACTACAGCAGAGCACCTTCCTCAGTATCACAGACGATAACGTGTCTGCTTGAAACACGGTCGATTGAACGTGCCCCTATTCTAGCAGTACGCATCCTTCACGGTCGCTCGCCATTTGCCATCCTCGCTAGTCAGACAGCGTAACTGTAGGCGTTAACGACTAGGATACGTAGACGAAGCTACCGGTGGGGAAAACATCTCACCCTTTTCCAATTGTCCCTCCACGTTTGGCTCGGGGCCGGTGACACCAACTGGGCTGCGCTACCGGCAAGCCCCAGCACGCCGCAAGGGTTCCAGCTTCAACGTGGCCCTCCGTTAAGCTCTTGCTTTAAGAGACCAGCCTGGGTGCTTCTTAGGCATCTCCATTTTTGTGGTAGAAGCAAAATTAAAAAAAAAAAAAAAATATTAGAAAACAAAACAAAACAAAAAACCACGCTTGAAAAAACTCACTGTTCTGTTTTCACTGCTCCATTCCTACTCACTTGACTAATCACCGTCATGTTGTTGTTGTTTTTCTGAGTGGAAGTATAAAACATATTAAAATCCCTGCATTTCACAAAGTTCCAATATAACGTTTGGGAAACTGGCTGAGGAACTAAATCCTGAGGCAAACAGGATCTGTCCGTTTTCACAGGAATAGTTGGCAAACTATCAGCATGAAAACGGCTTTTCTCGCTCCCCACAAAATGCACGGAGTGGTAGATTGGTACCAGGGATGTTCTGGGGTTCTGGGTTTGTTGGCTTTATATTTTAACAGAAGTTAACCAGCTTGTCCAGAATCGAGGCTGCATATTGGAAGGAGAGCAGGATTACTTTGAGGTAAAGATATAGGGAGGGAAGGAATATTGAATTTGATCTTTGAAACTCCCCTACCATTTTCTCCCCTGGGAGTTGGCAGTTTCCTGGTGCTAACGCACTGTTTCTGCTCTGTGGCACGTTAAGATAGAGGCATAGCAAAAGTGCCAGTTCTGGAAGTGCAGGGCATTGATTTGGTGCAGATAAGAGAAAAATACACAGAAGGCTATGACAAATTACGGAGCTATGACCTGCTGTTTGCCTACGGTGCTTTTTATCTCCTTTGCTTTAACTCTAAAGGTCTTCAACTCTTCAATTAAAGAGAGGAAAAAATAAAATAAAATAAAAATCACCCTCTACAAATACATTCCCCAGCCGGCAGCTGCCTTCTGAGGTTGGTATGACCTCATCAATGTCGCTGCTGAAGGACAGATCAAAAGTCCTCAGGTTCAGTTGGAACTTTGGTCTTTTGTCAGTGCGCTTCCAAAGTTAAATTGTACGAATGCGTAAAAAAGACGATATTCCCGGTCTGTGCTGCACAGCATTACTGCTGCTTCACTGAAGCTACTTCCTAGAAGTCCAGGGACCTGTTGGGCAGGGTACCTGCTCCGAGCAATCAACGAGCAGCTCGCCTGCGTTGAGAACATAAGGCAGCCTGTTGTAGGGTCGCCCCAGATCTCCCATAGCTTTAATGTAAATCCCGCCAACTGGCTTCACCATGTCATCATCTGTAACTGGCCAGTGCTTTTTTCCCCTGGTCCGTGAAAGTCAGGCGGGAGTTTTGCCCGATTAAGGGTGTTACGGCGAGGCACGATGTCTGCAAGGCTGTAAGTGATGACGACAAATGCCAACTCACCGGCTCGCGGCTCTGCCCTGAGCGTGGTTCATAATTGCAAACTGTAGTTTCGTGTCAGATTCTTAGTGTTTTAAGCTGAACCCCAGGGGACAATAAAATGTTGGAAGTCGGTCTTGTTGAAAAAAACTAGGTGTGTTGCAAGAGACGGTGGTGGTTAACCCCCAGCTCTTTCCGAGTACGGTAAGGAGTCGGTCGTGTTGTCAGATCTCATTGCCGCCTTTGCAAAGAAGGAATTGTGCACTCACTGCTAAGTTGGGGGAAAAGCTGCCGAGAGTTTTACCTTGCTAATTTTGCTTTTTAATAATCCTTTATTTAGCTATCAAAGGATTTTCACCCCAGCATAAGATCACTAGCTTCGAAGAGGCCAAAGGCTTAGATCGAATTAATGAGCGAATGCCACCGCGCAGAGACGTGCCATCCGATGCCAACCTTAACTCCATCAACAAGGCAATCTCCACAGAGACTAATGGCACGGACAGCAACGGCAGTAATAGCAGCAATATTCAGTGACCACTGTCTGGGAGGGGGGTTGAGCCGCAGGGTGCGATGGGGTTGCTGCGCATCAGCAGTGGGATGTTCTTGCCTCTGATAATAGCTTACTTGCTCTGGGGGCCAGGTGTTGGATTCAGTTTACAAAAATCATCTACGAAGAGATCGTCAACTTTAATTTGGTGGGAGGGGGGTGGGGGAGAGACACCTCCTTTGGACATGCCTTTAAAATGCTTGTAGAAAAACGACAGCTCCTGCTGGTATATATCGCAAAGTTAGGGGAATGAACATGTTTTCCTACTGCATTGGGAACGTCTAGATATGTTACTGAAAGGCCTTTTATTATGTTACTGGACATGAAAACTTTGTTTAATTTCTTACTAACTATTGTACGTTTACAGTTGCAGCACTAAACATGGACAACATCGAAACATTTTTAACGAAATGTACAAACTAAATAAGGACTATTTATTGATAATGTTTTGCTACTCTTGTCAGAAAATGGCTATGAAATAAATTAGGCAGTCTTTAAAAATATAGAGGAAAAAAAAAAGAAAAAAAAAAAAAGAATGTTGGAAATTTGTTTAAAATGCCAAAAAAATAAAAAATAGAAAGAGAGCGAGAGTGAGAGAGAGAGAGAGCGCGACAGTTTAATTTTGTACAGATTATGCTTACCTCAGGTTTCTTTAGTGTGCTTCAATGCCCTTCTTTAAATATAACACTTATCTTACTAATTTGGCAGCAATTATCCTTTTCTTTGTTTAAAAAAAAAAACTGGAATAATGATAACATTTATCTTTTTTTGCTGTTTATATTTAGGGGGGTTTGGTTTGGGGGGTTTTCTGGGTTTTTTTGGTAAATCAAGTCTTGGTTGTGGCTTGCTGAATTTAAATATTTATGAGTGGTGCATTTTTAAGTATAGTGAACAAGACACCATATTAAGTGCAGTGAAAAGCATCTATATTCTGTAAAAATCTGCCTATGCATGTTTTTTAAGAAAAAATGGCTGTATAGGCCTGTATGGGACTGTAATGCGCTTAGTGGTCTGACTTATACTGGAAATGTATGTATACTGGCGTACTTTATATTCTCTAAAAACAAAAAATGCTTAATGCCTTTGAAATTTTGTAATCAAAAAAAAAGCTTTGAAAAATCTAAGGGGAAAGTATTCTTAAAGTTTTTAACATAAGCTTGTCAGTGCACATATAGATGGGTAGCATGTTTAGCAAACCTTGTGAGATTTAAATAAGTTCGTAGTTACATGTGAGATTCTAAATGCATGATAACTGTTAATGTCATAATGGTTTAGTCATTTTGTTCTGTTCTGTCATGTGCCACAAAATGTGTAATTTTTTCACTTTTTTCCCTTTGTATATCAGTTACGGGTTTCAACTGGTTCATTCTAAAAAAAAAAAAAAAGAAAAAGAAACAAAACAAAACAGTCCATTGATATTTTTTAACAATTGTATAAGTGCCCAAGTAATTCACTACAGCCTACAGCCTTGCCTTTGTAATTTGACTTCGAAATGTTGGCAATCAAAGCATGCACTTGTAACAATGAAAGAAGCATTTTATATTACTACTCAATAAAAATGTGCATGAACTTCAGCGCTCTTCCCTTTCTTGCTGGCTCGCTCGCAGAGCCGCACACGGACACACGTGCGCTCGTTGCTCTCTTTTGCTTCGGACAGGAGAAGGTTGTTGGTGTAAGAGAAGAATGGCTCGTTTCACAATTCAAGGTCAGTTCTCTACTGAGAAAAGAATTCATTTATTACCCAACTGGTTTAGGCTGCTGAACATCTGCAGGCTCCCTGGGTGTTTGTTTTCCCCCCAAGTTCTGGTTAGAAAGTTGCTTTTTTTTTTTTTTTTTTTGATAAAACGAGTAGGATGTATCCCACAAGTAGAGGGCAGAAGAAAACATGCGCCCTCTGTGTGCTTCTTCCCCCTCGCCCCATCTGGAGTGTTTGAAAAGGTCAACTAGTATCACTTAAAATTTTCCTTTAAGAAAAAACGGACAATTTCAGGTTTCAGATGCTGTCTTTCAGTCAGAGGTGAAATGTCCAAGCTCTGCCTTGTTCTCGTTTTCCAACTGTGCTCAGCATCCTTCCACAGTCCATCATCCTGCAAAGAACTGGTGGACGATGCCAAACGGCGCGACGTCGTGGGGATTGCTTTAGTCCTCCTTTCAGGTAGCGTTATTCAGCGTTGGCTCAGTGCCTGATTTCTTACATGTTTTTCCCACTTCAGCTCTTGTTCATTTTGGCAAAATATGACAGGTAGGAAAACCAAAGAGAATTCATAATACACGGGACTAGGAAGCTGGATCAATTTTAGATTGAAGTTTTTATTTCAGATTTTATGGAGATACAGCACAGGGGAGAGACACGCCGAGTCTAACCGTTCATCTGATCCGTGAAGCTGTGCGTCTGGTTAACGAGCACGTTCTCTGCAAAAAGTAGTGCTAGAAGTTTGAGTGGCCACGTTACTTGCCAGGTGGACCCTGGGTAGGTGCCAGCTGAACATCAGGTAAGTTTTTTCTGCAGTGACGCCCGAGCGTGGCGCTCAGCAGGCACTCTGCGCGGCGCAGCAGCGCTGTTGGGCAGCGCGACGCGCGCTGTCTGCTTTCATTGAAGTTGGGCCTTGGCAGCTGCTCAAACTAACAGCAAGAAAGGGGTTTTTCCTCTCAGCAGTGACAGTGTGGCATAGACCTCTCAGTTGGGAGACTTTAACCCAAAAGATCCATGCTACAAACCAGTGCTGGGTTTGCAAATGCCTCCTGCAGTTGCCAAAGAGCTGATGGGTAAGCGAGGTAGCCCAGCCTGAGCAATGCCTTAGGATATGTACGAAATCTGTTTGGTCAGCAAGGAGATTTTTGAACTTTTTGTACCTTAGAAGAATGAAAAATGTCCTGAGTGTGCAAAATAGCAGTGTTCTCTGTGATGGCCTGGCTCTTTTCTGGCACGAGCCCTGCCATCCTGCCGTGGGGCAGGTTCTGGGCTGCCACTGAGAGATCATCTAGGCTATACTCAAATGTTCCTAAAAGGACCCCAAAAAATTTCCAAAGCTTATCTCTTTCCAGGCATGCCGTCTCTTCCAGCTGTCCTTTCTTTTTCCTGCTGCAGAAGGAGCTGTAGATGAATTTGAAGAAAAACCCTGGTGCCACTGAAGGCTGAGTTTTGGATTTCATGGCCTCAGTGACATGACGTGCACTGGAGCATGTCCCTCAGTACAGGTTTCTTCCTTCTTACCAAATATGCCACTTTAATGACAAAAATATCATTGGTGCCTAAGTCAGGATTTACTGTATTTTTTTAACCACTTGATTCCCACTGTGTGGGATAGTATATTGGATACATGTATTATTCTGCACTATCATCGTTTTCCTTTTCAACAGCTATTAAACATGAAGTGTATTAGCTCTTGGCACACATTTTCTGAAGAAGACCACATTCAAAATTTGTCCAGGGTTTCCCCCATAACAGCAGTAGGTTTGACCCTGCTGAAGCTTGTGCCAGAATTGCCAACTGTCAGGCACAGATATAAACTTTTCCAGCATTTTCCTTGACGCCCTTTCTTACTGCCAGAGGAGGATCGTCTGGAGCCTCCAGAGGAGTCTGGGTATAATTTGGCTTTCTCCTGAGAACCTGGCCAGCAAAATTGAGGTCAGAAAGCAGGGCTAAAAACAGACAGTGAAAGATGCTGCTTATTAGCACAGATCTGATCTCTGTCCTCCCTCACTTTAGCTTTGTTTTTTAGTGAAACAGTGGAGTTCAGAGTGTAAAAAAAATGAAAATTTAGAGACACTTTCTAGGTTCAAACTGAATTTACAATATTAGTTTTTAGAAATCAGTTTAGTCAGATCCGTGAATCTTCCCACTTCTTTCACAAAGAGAAGGATGTGAGAATCAGCTATTTCAAATGTTAAAAAACCACAAGCAACCACTTGGAAAATAGTTTGCAGATCACTTTCTTAGTTGCCTTTGGGAGGATGTTTGATTCTGCTAAAAATGGCCATTTTTGGCAGGCAAAACGATGAACTTTCTGGTTCTTCAACAACTTAGGAAAAAATATATCCAAGTTCACACGTGTTCATATGTATATGTTCATACATATGTGAAAACACAGAGAACTTGCAGCTGCCTCCGTGTGGATCCCAAAAAGGAGTTGTTGATGGAGCTAGAGGATTTTTTTTTTGTCTTGCTGAGCTGATTTTGCGGTGTGGAGCCTGGTAAGCATTACAAAATGTATGTTTCATGAGGCTTTGATTATTTTTTTATTATTATTTTTTCAATAACTTGAGGGCACTTTCAGTTTTATATGTGGCACCGTGTTTCATCAAGCTGACAGATAGCTGTGTGCTCTGGGCAATATTCCTCCGCTGCACACGATTGCAACGGGAAGGGCTGCCTTGGCTCTGTCATCCCTGTCGAAAGCTTGTTTTAGGGAAACTTGGCAAAGAACGTGCTAAAGGACTGATTTTGCCGCCAGTGGGAAATCCGCAGGCATGGTGGCAGACACAACAGCGTCTGCTCCTTTGTGGAGTCTGCTAGTGGCCATCACTAGTTGCTCAGGGGTTCACCAAGGACATCCCCATACTTTTGGGCAGAGCCTTGAGTGGTCACTTGCTGGAGGTTTGGGTCAGGCACCCAGTTAGGCAATTCCTACAGCAGCAAGACTCGAGCAAGAGATGGTTGTTTCATGCTTTAGCTGTTACATCCCTGAGGCAGTTGATGTAGACAGCCATGGTGCAGTCGAGCAAGCCCATTTCTCTTCACATCTGGGCATTTAATAATCTCTTTTGGTTTAAATGTGTAGTCGAACACTGGGACTTGGACTAATTTCACAGCATTTTAGGCCAGTTAGTTTACAGAATCGAGACTTGTTGAGGCTGGCAGACACCGCTGAGATTGGCTCCTCCAACCCAACTGCTCAGGCAGGGTCAGCTGAAGCAGGTTGCTCGGGGCTGTGTCCAGTGAGGTTTTGAGTATCTGCAAGGATGGAAACTCCACAACCTCTCTGTGCAACCTGTGCCTCTGCTTGACAGCTCTTACAGTAAAAAAAGATTTTTCTTACGTTTAAAAATTTCCTGTATTTCAGTTTGTGCCCGCTGTTGCCAGACCTCACAGAGAAGAGCCTACCTTCATCTTTTTTACTCTCCCCAACAAGTATTTATACACCTTTTCTCCAGGCTGAGCAGTGCCAGCTCTCTCCATCTCTACTGGCAGGTCAGATATTCCGGTCCCTTATCATGGTCCTTTGTTGAACTCACTCCAGTAAGTCCAAGTCTGTCTTGTGCTGGGGAGCCCAGACCTGGACACGGTACTCCAGGTATGTCTCAACAGTGCTGAGTAGAGGGGGGGAAGTTAAATTACCTGCCCTGGCTTCCTGTACACGCCATTACATTTCCACAACATACATTGATGTCAATAGTTTAAGACGAGATGTTTCTGGCCTTGTAAGTCGGAGATGGGCCCCATACCTCCGAAAACAGAAGCAGCAGAGGCACGTTGCAGTTGCAGAGCTGAGACGTACTGAGATACGGATGCAAGAAGGTAAGACACAATGAGTGCATCGCTAGTCTGAGAGGACAGTGGAAGACTGGAAGAATATTTATTGCCAAATTTGATAATGAATTTGATCAGAACATTATCCAGGTAGGTACCAATTGCAAGAGGGAGGACCCTCTTCACTGTCTCAGTCCTCTTCTGTCCTGTCCTTTGTCCCACCTACTGCTGATCCTTGGTTCTTCAGAAGAAGGCGAAGAAGTCGTCAAAAAAATCTGGCCAATCTTGTACTGAGGGAAATCGTCCATTCCTGGATTCAGCAGGCAAGTGGCTGAAGCCCTGAAGCGTGTGATTTATGTAGAGTCATTCTTGTAGTGCAGATCTGCACGTGTTACCAGGACATCACATAAATGAGAGATCTTGTGCCTCCCTGGGGAGGGAGAAGTAACCTTCCAAGGAGGTTGCCTGAGGAAGAGGTAATTTGTTTATATGTCACTTGGTGGTTTATTGGTTTCAGTGCATAGTAAGCTTTGCACTTGGACTGTATTTTTCTAAAATGAGAAGAAAGTGTACTCTGAAGGGAATATGAGACTGACAAGGCTGCAGAGCTGGTGTTTAGGTTAAAGACTAAGGAAGCCATGGACCAGGGTGCCAGAGGAGGGTAGGGGCGGGAAGGAAAGGAATGAGGAGTGGGGCTGGCAGAAGAGCCTGGGATATTTACTTCATTCCTTTTTCAAGGTAGATGGGAGAAGAGGCAGTGGTGGCAGCGCTGGAGGAGACCTGAGCACTTAATGCTGCAAGACTGAGATGATGAGATACAGAAGCTCTATGATGTACCTTGGCTTTGGGTAGGCGGTGACAGAAACTATTTAGGCTGATAAAATTCACCTTAGGCTAGACGTGCACTTAAAGATGATGGTAGTGTTCACGCTGTGACCTGAAGGCAGTCGTGTATAAAAGGAGAGCAGAGAACGGCATGGGCAATAAAGTTTTGGAGAGCAGACCTGTGATAAGGAGCAGGCTGAGGCTCACAGCTCTGGCAGAGGAAGAAGCACAGATTGCAGGATTGAACGCTGTACTGCGTGCTGAAGAGTTGAATCAGTT